CATCTCGAACCTGCTCCCGCGTGCCCAGGACCGCTACCTCGACCCTCAGCCTGCCCTCCCTCTCCCAGCCATCCCTCCCCACGGTGCTCTCCTCGGGGCCCTGTTACCCCTGCTCAGTCACTCTTTTCTCAAATTTCTGCTGGTTTCTTCTGTTTCCTGTGCTGGTTCTTGCTCTGCCATAGCTTCATTAGTGGGAAGTTGCCAAAAAAGTGTTCAATTAGAGTCGGTCCCTGGTTCTCTTTGGTGTCAAGTCTCTCTTCCTTAAAGAGTTGATTCCTCTTTGATTTCTGGGGAATTTTCAAATTGACATGACTGCACCTGACTTCTTTCTCAGGCCCGAGGCCTGTGCTTCCAACTGCCTACATCACTGACCCCTCAAAACTGCCGTGTCCCGACGCCGGCTCCTCTTCCCCATTGCACTTGCTTCTTCCTTTCTTCTGTAATTTCATGACCATCCTCCCTATAAACTAGGCTCAAAGCTAGAGGGGCCTCCCCTTCTCTTCTCCTTTGTCCCCCATGAGCCCTGACTCATCTGCCTGGTGACATCTGGACATCCAGTCCTCCGAGCAAGACTTTTGTGCTCCTTCCAAGTGACTCTACGGCAAGTGTCTTCTAAAAAATGCAGCTGATGTCTATTAGAAACCAAGTGCCCACAGCCTAGCCCGAGTGCCTCTCTGCATGACTCTCCCTGGACCAGCTCCCTGCCAGCTGCAAGCCGAGTTTTGGACACACAGCCTCCCAAGCACACAGGACCACACAGGTATTCATGTGTCTCTGGGGCATGACTTGCCCAGCCTGCGCTCTGTGCCTGCCAGTCATTTCAGAGCTGAAATTTGTGCCTCCTGACTGAAGGCCAAAAGTTGAAGGTGGCTTTCACTGAAAGCATTTGAACAGCTGAGTAAAATGTCCTTGCTTTCAAAAGGGAAGCATTCTTCATGTTTTCAGAAGTCACCAAACCTGTTCCTTGTTTTTGAAGAAACAGGGTAACTTGGGCTTTTGCCAGGACGGATCAGTCCATTCTCTTCTCAGGTGTGTTTACTTAGGAGGCAGTGCTGGGTCCAGGCAGGGGTGTATACTAAGCCAGGGTTCAGCCTAATCACTTAGGAAAACTTCTTATTAACTTTGCTGCCCTATAATTTCCATCACTCTTGATGGAAATATGTGACAAGTTAATGTAGTATTACAGGGAAAAGCATGGTGGCTGTATCATTTAAGTACCAAATTTGGGGAAAACATTAGCTGCATAGTAAACTTTAGATTTCTTCCCCAAATTATATAACTTAAATAATAATTTAAAATATTATCACTGCAAAGACTCTGGATTTTGGTCAATAGCAACGTACCAACACTGGACTTTGTGTTGGCGGATGTGCTTGGTGACGTGAGAGGCCGACATCTGGGGGAGGGGGTGGGGGATGCAGAAACCACTGCCTGGCTTTTCTTTAAATCTACAAATATTTCAAAATAAGAAGCTTATATGAAAAATGACCAGCTCCCCCTTTCTATGTGTGGGGCAGAACACTAAGTCCTTTACAGACATCGTCTCATGTAGTTCGGGAACAGCCCTGAGGTAGAGACAACACATCTCACAGATGAGCAAACAAAGCTCTGCCAGGACTGCAGATGGCAAGACACAGGCCTCGGGTGGTGCTGCGGCGGTGAAGGTTGGAGGCAGCCGTCCCACGTTCCCCACACATGCGTGCACACAACACACACACAGACACACGGTCTGTCAGTCAGAACTCCTTTTTTCACCTTCCAGGGACCCATTCTCCTCCCCAAGTAGGTTCACTCACCAGTCCCCTCTTTTGCGCAGGCATCGATGGCCCCGCTAGCCCACGGCAGGACTGGCCAGCAACGCCCCACGCCCACACTGGATGTGGCCCACTCCTCCATGAGGCCTGGCCCTTCTCGCTCTATGAGCTCCCTCCCCTCTGAGACTGCACACCCCAATGGGCAAAGCCTGACCCGTGCCCACTTCCACACCCACCTGCCCATGAGTGCATTCATTCATTCATCTCTCAGAAGAAACAAGACTTAGAACCAGAAAGAATCACAGAAGCTTTCATGTGTCAAAGCTGTTCCTCATCAGCTGCCCCATGAAAGGTATTCATCACAGTCATCTCAAGAAGTGCTTTTAAAATACCTCTCGGTTTCACCCCCTGTTCTGATTCAGGAGGGCCAGATGGGGCCTGGTAATCTGTGGTTTTTCAAAACTCCCCTGCCCACCAACCCCAGGCGACTCTGACGCACTGCCAGGTTTGGGCTTTCACCCAATAAATACCTTCTGGAAACAGCCGACTTCTGCTCGAGAAACCCTGAGGTGGAGGAGCTCTTGCCCCATAAGCCTGCCTCTCTTGGCCGAGCTGCACTTAATATTCAGAAATCCTTTTTTAGTCAGATACAATGTGCCTCTTCGGAAATTCACTCTTTGTTTAGATTTTGTCCCCGGTACAACTAAGAAGACGCTTTCCCCCTTTTTCATTTGACCAGTCTGACGAGAGCCATCATATTTTAAAAGCTCTCTTCCAGACCAAGTACCCATTGTTCCAACAGTTGTTCTGTTCTGTTCTATTTTTGTTTTAATGAAGGGCCTTCTCTTATTATCCCATTTCAAATGGGGAACTCAGAGTCGGGAATAGTATTCAGGAGGAGCTCTGAGCCTTGAAGTTTCGGGGGCAACCACTCTGCATGCTTCCTAAGGAGGCAGTCTAGGGCAGAGGTTCTCAGCCTGGCTGCACATGGGAACCACCTGGGAGACCTTAGGAAATACTGATGCTCAGGTCCTATGTCTCAGAGATTCTGGTGTAACGGGTCTGACAGTGCTGCCCAATTATTAAGACTTTTTTCAAAGGTTCCAGGTAATTTTTAAGCAGCAGCTAGTGATAAAAGCTACACAGACACTGGTTTCTCTCCATGTTATTCTACTGGCACCCACTAAATTCCTTCATGCTCAGCTGTCTTGCCTTGAATCCCTGCCAAGCCAGGTCTTCCTCACCATGCACTTGAGGAGCGGACTAGCTGAACTTCATGGTAGACTTCTGCACTTATTCCTGGTAAATGCTATCAAATTGGTTTGGGTCCATTGTTACAAGGCTATTGATGGTCCTGTCCTAAGGCGCATATTGATTATCTGCTGTATCTCCAGCTCTGCATCTTATACATGCTTCTGGTATCTTCATGTAAAACATGAATAAAATAATAAACCTTTGAAAGACACATGCAGAGATCTCTGGGAAACAAATGGCAGTGGCTGCTTTTTAAGCAACTGGTGAGTCTTTCACAGGTAAAGACCAGATGCTGAAGATTTACGGTTACAGATAAATACAAGAGTATGGCACTTATTCTCTCTGGTGCCAGGAACTAGCCGAAGCCACACGCTCGGCTGCCAGGATACTACCAGCTAGTGACATTTCCTATGTGGGATGTCCCTGGTGTTATTTAATTCAACCTTCAGGTGGACTGAAACTGCTACAGTGATACTGGCTCAAGATGCTCTGAGCCTGCAGGAAGATGTAAGACGACATTCTTACATGTCTCACTGGCCAGAAAACAAACTGTTAATTGATCTCTCAGAGTTGTAGGGTCTTTGATTCCATTATGAAAGCATCATTCTGCTTTGTATGAACCACAGGGCAACAAACACGGCAGGATACAGGTGGAAGTTGCCAGGTCAGCTTTGGGAAGGTAAAATAAAGTTCAATTTGTGTCAAAATTTTTTTTGGTTTTAATTTTGAAAGTTGGTATTTCTCTTGCGTTCACAGCACCAACCTAAAGCAAGACCCTGAAGAGGCATTTCCGTCTGTCCCCATTTTCAGGGAGGCTGACTCTGTGTACCTGTTATTTCTTAATTCTGGCTGTACTCTCCTTCCTGGAACATCTCTGTAAATCTCCCACCTCCTTCTACCACAGGAAAGGGAACTGCACATGAATTACCTTAAAAAGCATACAAAGCAGGATGCCTGAGCACATTCACTATACAACATGGGCACAGCTCTGCTAGCCTGTCCAAGTCATGCCGAATCCCATGGTCTGGAATCACCTGGGGCGAGAGCCTCACCCAGGGCCTCCGTCACTAAGTGCCCCCGGCCACTTTAAACCACACTCCCGCCTGGAGTGAGGATACAGGATACAAGGGGCTCCATTTCTGCCAAGAACACTGTAGAAGCCTTTTGCTACCTTCTCTTGGCATTGTTCCAATGCATATTTAGTAGACAGTCAACTCCCCATTTGTCTACACACAACGGCCTTAAAGAGCCCCCTAAGAATTTTCTATAAAAGGTTCTATTTTAGGTAGCAGTACATCAGATTTTGCAGTCTGCGGTATACAGTTTTCCCTGATCGTTTGCACCACCCTCTTCCTCAGATCAATGTTTTATTTGGTATTTAATGGGTAGACTTAATGTTATTTTTAACCAATCTGCTCTTTATAGACTTCTAGGATATTTCCAGTCTTTTAATTCTGCCATGGGTATCTCAGTCATATGTCATTTCAGACATTAAAATGTATCCTTAAGATAAACTCCTAGAAGTGGGGTTCGAGGTCAAAGTGTGTTGTGTGTGGTGCACAGGGCTCTATAGTCTTCAAAGCACTTTTTAAACACCAAAACATAGTACTGAAAACTGCATGAGACGTATAGGTAGGGAACAATGCTACAAAGCGGCACCAGGAACCTATTACCAACACCCCCAAAAGTCCCTCCTCGGCCTCATTCTCTATCACCCTTACCTTCCTTCCAGAAGTAATTAGTAACTTTATTTTGTGAAATTAATGATAAGAAAACATGCATTTTGAAGACTGTAAACCATAGGAAAAAAAATTCAAGATGAGCTCCAAATACGTGTAGAATTTAAGAGAAGATCAACTTAAATTGGCTTGCTTTGATCTCTGCTTATAACTGCTGCTTATAAGGAACATAAAAGTAACATCAGAATGAGAGAGAGAGAGAGAGGAGGAGATAGGAAGAAATATAATTATTAAACATAATTTTTGCACTCACCATAGGGCGAGTCGTTGTTCAATTTCCTTGAGAAAATTTGTATGAAATTTGTGCAAAGGTTCAAAATTCGGGAATATGAGACTTTTCAATGTTTCGGGCATGGAGTCGTCTTTGCTCACTGTGCTCTGAAACCACTGGGGGTAAAAACAGGACACTCTTAGAGGTATAAAAATAGATCATGAATGTCCACAGTTCTTCAGAAGTAACACAGCTTCCGGTCTAGAGAACAAGGGCTTTCTTGCTGGGTTGGCAGCATTTCAGGAGCATCTGGAGCTTCCAGGCCTTACTGCTTCCCCTTTCTTCCATTAGACGGGGTAAGAAGCATCCATCTCTTTACTATTGCTTTCTGAAATTGGTTACCAATAAATTGTTGAAGCTAGGACAAATCCTGGAAATGGACAGCTACTCAAACCAAAATGTCCATTCTGGCCAACCCGTCCATTCTGATTACCCGCTGGGTAATCACTGGTTTATTCCACTGAAAACCCTCCGGTTCAGTCCTTCAGGAACTTTCATCTCTGCTCCTCTGTTAAGATACTAACCACTGGGTGGCCGAACCACAGAGATAAGGCCCCTGCCCTCACACACTGGAGGTGAGGCTGGGCAGGATCCCACAAGACTCCCTGAGCACACGTCCAGAGACACAGAAACCCAAGGGTTCTAACTGGCCCCCCGATGACCAGCTCTTCCCCAGAATCCAGAGGTCATAAAGATATTGGCAATGAATTTGTTTTCAAGACTGAACAGAACTGATAAAATAATGAAAGGCAATCTTCTAGAAGATTTTGCTGACAGAGCTCAATTTATTATCATAGACAAACAGATTTCTATCACCACTGAGGTCTCCCCATACAGAAGCTATGTTTGCTAGTGGGCAAAAGTGAAAAGTTTTCTAATGGTGCATGCAGACAGAAAAACACTTAATTTTCTCCACTTTAGAAACTTTCTTCCTCTGCACTTAAAAACCACAAATATAAAAATTTTTGTAGAGCATATTCTGAATTAAATATACTATTGCCATCAAATTCCTATAATCCAGGACCCAAATCCTTTTAATTGGAGTCAGAGAACCCATCACTTAATTAGATCCAGTTTCTCTCCTAAAGCTGTGTATTAGTTGAGACAAATTATGCAATTAAATGCTTCAGGGGAAATGCTACACATACCGAAGTGATGACTTCGAGATCCTTCAGATATGTTCTCTCAGTGGTAGACACTTCCTTCGCCATGAAGTATGCTTTGTCACTTGGGAATCTCTGCAAAATGCATAAAAAGAAGTAAGACTTCATAATAATGCTGAGTATGAGTCTCTAAGAATGTTGTAGCTAGAGTGATAAACGACTAACGATCTTTTGTTAACTGGTATCCAGGCTCGATAAATTCTTAAGTCTCCTTTTTTGTATAAGAGGAACCAGAATAAGAGAACAGATTTCCATGATGAGAAAATTGTCTAGGAATGTCTCCTTCCACGTAAATAATACCCTCTGTGAAAGGCCTTGAGTGAGTCTGTTAGCCACCACTGAGGACTATTCATTCAAAATTGGGTGTCCAAAAGTCTAATTAATTAGTAAAATACCCAAGTAACATAGTCTTCAAGGAAGTAAACGAAACAGAAACCATAGGGGCCTTTGCCCTGAGGGCTATGGGCCGGCAGTACTGATGTCCATAGGATTATAAGGGCAGCTGATCTAAAGGAACAAGGATGAGGGCAGCTGGTGACACACGGTGACCCAGTCCCCTGGTCAGTGGGCAGGCAGCACCACTCTACAGAGGCCAGCCCTCAGTTTTGCCTTCTTTTTGAACAAGAAGTAAAAGGAATTCCTTGTTGCTAGCCATCTGCTTGCTTCCCAGAGGGGCCACCCGATTCTACCCCTGGGGACACACACAAAAGCATTGAAAGTAAGGGCTCAAACATACACTTATACACCCATGTGCCTGTCAGCATTATTAACAAGAGGCAATAGGAGAAAAGGACCCAGCTGTCCATCAATGGATGAATAGATAAGTAAAGTGTGGTCTATCCACACAATGGAATATGACCAACCTTATGAAGGAGGGAAATTCTGATACGTGGATGAACCTTGAGGATATTACACTTAAGTGAAACAGGCCAGTCACAGAAGGACAAATACTGTAAGATTCTACTTATAGGAAGTTCCTAGAAGAGTCAAATTCACAGACAGAGTGCAGAATGGGGCTAGTGGAGGTGGGATGTAGAGTTGGTATTTAACTCAGTTGCAGACAGTGCCATAGTTCTGAAAATGGACAGTGATGTTTTTATATAACAGTGCAAATGTACGTAATGTCACTGGACAGTATGCTTAAAAATGGTTGAAATGGCAAAGTTGATGGTATGTACAGTATTGTAATTGAAAAAAAAAAAGATGATCACGGGCTTGCGCACACAGTCCCCCCACCTTTCTCCGGCCTTCCTCCTCGTCGTCGGTCCGAGGGCACACCTGGTCGTTCAGCAGCGGGCTGACCAAGGGAGAGGCCTGCTTGGTGTCCGGGCTCAGGTTGGGAGACAGGATGACGTTGGTGGGCACAGCTCCTCCCTGTGAGTTGATGGACAGCTCTGAAAGGTGAGGGCTACCGGCCTGGGAGCCTGTTTGAGGATGAGAAGTATTAAAAAAAAAAAAAAAGTAATTCCTTTTGGGACCAGATTTCTACTTACAATGTTCAATTTTTCAAATCTTTAGAACCTCAACTACGACAGCACACCTCACGTGCTTCACTATTTTCTAGCTTTTTTCCTAAGTTGCAGCTGCCTTAATACTAAAGATACCATAGTAGGAATAATTCAATGAAGCCTCAGCTATGGAATGAATGATAAAGTAGAAAACTTTGCTTAGAGAATAATTACAATAGTTCAAAAGCATGACATATCCCCAAAGAGAACTAACTACATTCTCCTAACTACAGCCTTTGCTTCTATGAATTGCTTGAGAAAGACACAATGTCTCTATCACAAGGAGACATGGGAAATGATTAGAAAATAGAGCTACACTAAAAAGAAAGAAAAGCACTGGTGCGCCCAGGACAGACTACATCTTGTGATGATGGGCCACAGCTAAAGACAGGTAAAGCAGCTAACTCCCCATTCTACAAAGAACAGAAGCCAGCTTGGTATACCTGGTGACGTCACTCCGTGTCTCTCACTGTTTAGAACAGAAACACGAGTATCACACTTACATGCAAAGGTGATCATTTAAAAATGCAAAGCTGGAGGTCATTACATCATCACATTTCCCCTCTGAATCAAAAAAGTGACAGGCAATTATTCCTCTGAAAAGGATACCATATTAAATAATATGAAAACGTATAATTACCCATTCTGAGTCAGCCAAAGGGGATGACGTATACACGAAACTCTGCCAACAGAAATTTGGCCAATATTGAGAGCTCAACCCACTGAAGATAAATGGGATGTTTCAAAATATACTTCCAATCCGAATGTTCTTACCTAACACATTTGTAATTGTAGTGTAGATCTGCTAGAACTAGCATTAGGCTAAACAAAGTTAAAGTAGCCTTCTGTCCTGTTACCATTATAAGGAAAGACAATGTAAATGTTCTTTCCATGTTCCAATATGCAGTTTCAGCTTGTTGCTACTCCACACACAATCAAGGATCTTGGGTAGAAAGGTGAAGTGGTTTCCCCATTTTCTTGACATCTATCCTCTCTCTCTTATTTGAATCCATTTGAAATTACAAGATGGAGCAGCCTAGAAGGGAGCTGATCAAGTAGGGTAGTGAACTTGACCCCAGCATGAATGAACCACAACCAGCCCCCACCCCATCCCAGGTGCGTCAGCTGTATCACCAACACATACATGAAATACCACAAAAACCCTGCCCACTGACTATAGGTCAGTACCATGATCCTTAAAGAACATGATCAGAAAAAGTAAAGAAAAGGCAGATTCAAGAAGTTTACATTTTTTAAACCCTTCCATCAAAATCCTTGCATTCTTAATACATGTCATTGCAATGAAGTCCTGGTATTTGAGAAAGCCACATGCACCCCACACACCACCAAACCCTGTGAAACCCGGAGAAAAAGGCCAGAAATTGCTTCACAAATGTCAATTTTATTGACACTAGTGCACAACTGAATACAATAGTTTTGAAAGAATCGGAACTTGTCAAGTAGAAATAGTGACAACAATTAGAACTGCAAATGTTTTGAGGCGCTACGCTATTCTTTTTTTTTAAAAAATCACAAGAAAAATGTCATTTGCTACAAATTGGAATTAAGAGAAACTCTGGCAGTCTGTTTAGTGAGCAAAACATTTCATGCATTTGTGAGATGCTGTATCAGAGTCACTTTTTCTTTGCCCACCACCATCTGGCAAACCTGGGGGCTTACCTTGGGCTCTCACACTGCGCGCGGTTATCAGGTGAGGCAGTTCTAAGGGAGAATATGCTGGGCCTGGAATGTGCAGTGACGTGGAACAGAAAGCACCCGCCTCATCATTCAAAGAGTTGGAGCCAAGAATAAAAAGCAGTTAGAGGGCCAGCCTGAAGGAGTGGGGGCCGGGGAGACAGTGCCGATTAGCCTCTGGACAGCACCCAGTAGCAGATGAAAATCCAACCACCGTATCGCGAGGCAGAAAATAAGTGCACACACTCTAGGACAATCGCTGCTGCTCTGTGAATCTCCCCCAGGGACACTTCTGTTTGGTAGACAGCTGACAGAAAGGATGAACTGTCAGATTAGGGGTCCAGGAGGGGTCTGCCCTGCCAAGAAGGCAAGGCACCTGTCAAAGAAGACAGCAATCTAGAGAAATCCCCCTGGGCCACATCGGAGGCAGGATTCAGAAGGCGGGACACTAGAAGTGAGTTTCCAGACAACCTGCGTTCCTAGGTAGAGGAGGGGATGGCTCTGGGCCTGCCATGTTCAGTCACCCAGCCTAAAGATGCATGCACTATGCAGACTTGGGGAACGGCTATAATCAGGGTCGCCAAATTCCACTTCTGGAGTGGCTACCTCAGCTGGCTTTGTGCCTACTTGTAGGGCCTAAGAAAGGAAGGTTGGTGGGTATATTGAAACAGTAGGACCAATAAATCAATAAATACCAAGAAGCCTGGTCTAGAAATCGGTCAGCAATTCTCTTTGTTTGATTTTGCTAATCTGAACTGTGTCCATGGAGATAAGCTCCTTTCTTCTCCGTGCAAGAGAATTCCAGGCTTTGAAAATTTATGAGTGATTCAAACAAAATCATCTAGTTCATTTATCCCTCAGCAATCAATGAAATATGCAGATGAGGGCAATCAGTAGAATTTGGCAGCTTGAGTAGTAGTGAAAATTCTCTTTGGACTTTGAGCCAGATGCTGTGACAGAGGTCTGCACAAACTGGTGTCCAAGCAGGGCAAGCGTGGAGAGCGGTGTCTTAAGCCAATATTTAAGGTTAGGTATTAGAACTACATGTAACGAATTTTCACTGAAGTAGTCCATTTTACAAAAAAGCAAACAAACATGGCTGTGTTTTAAGAGAAAATGAGACTGCTGATCTATACACTCTCATCAAGCCTGTTTAAATTATGCAGCCTGTCCTCTGCTTTGTAGGCACGGGCCCTGGGGCAATGAGAAGAAATTGTGATTGACATTCATTGCTACTCAGTGAACTTATTAATGCCTGGGTATTTTTATCATTTTTTTTTTCACTCTGACAAATTGACACAAAGTAATTTTTTTCAGCAGTGGGCTCTAGGTAATTTTGGGGGACATTTTGAGAAAGCACATGGACATTAAGGCAGTAAGTGGAAAAGAAGTTTAAAGGGATTAGAGATTAGTTACACCCTGAAAGACTGGGAGCTTCTGATTCTTTACAAAATTATTTTTACAAAATATTTTTACAAAATTATTTTTCCCAGAAATTGCTCTGTGTTTTTTAAAGGTATTCAGTGATATTTCTGGCTAATGAACCTCAAATACTTCACTTCTTCCATCCCCTCCCCACCATTTACCTGTATCAAAAGGGCTGACTTTATGTCACCCTCACGGACTAGAAATGCTTACTAAGGTGGCTCTCAAGGGAGGCATTTCTGGTAACTGCTTTTAAATTCCTTTTAAATGTACACATTCTCATGGCACAGACAATTATTGAACTTCGAATTAGTACTGCTATATTTATGGAGTTCAATTTATCACCTAGCCCAGAAACTGGCTTAGCCTCTCTTTCTTTGTAATGTGAACTATTCATAATTCTTCTCTCCTGGCTGCTCTGGGGAAGCCTGGCTGCATCACCCAGGCCAGCTCTTCATCAGCGGTGCCAAGGAGCAGGGAACAGTCTATGGCCAACAGGCCAATCTCAGACCTGTCCGCCTCTCTCCCTTTTGGGGACTGGGCACAAGCTGCGTGGTAAACATTCACCTCCTCCAATTGTATTAAAGGCCTAAGAACAAAATCACACCAGTCTGCGAAAAAAGAATTTTCGAATCTATTTTTCAAGTAATAAAAATGGCATTTTGAATACTTAGTTGTACCATCCTGTATTTTAAATCCGTAAGTTGGTAACCTCCAGTTTTTTTAATTAGATAGGTGTTATTTTTCCTAAGTGTTTAGAAAACCTGATCATTTAAAAAAGTGATCCACAAGTGTTGAATATTAAAATGTTTGAATGAGAATACTGATTGCTATCTCAATTCCTCTTTTCAAATATTTAAAAAATACAATTAAAAAAGCATCTGTGCTGATTCTTCAATAATGCCCCCCCCAGTAAAGTTAGTTACTTGGCAAGCTTCTAGACACCACCCATCTATTGTGATTATCTCCTGTTATTTGGTTAAAAAAGGTAGGAGACTTCATGTACCCAGAATATATGCTCTAAAGGCACATGTAGGAAACAATTACAGATGTGGGGTTTCTTCTGTTTTTAAAAAGGCTCTTTTTATATCCATAATCTCCCTCTAAAAGAGAATGCAGTGAACTCTCTCTGCAGATTGTCTGTATCTGAAAGCCAGTTTATCAAAAAAGAAGGTCGGTACTATTTTGAAAAATGGGTAGTCTCCCGAACAGGCAGAATTCACTCTAGTCCTATAGCCAAGCTGGGTCCCGCCTCAGTGAAATTTGTGAAAAGAAGATGATAATGTTTTATTGAAATCACAAGATTCCACAAGAAATACCAGGTTAGAGGATTACCAATCACAGTGATGTTTTCCTCTTCTTGGTAACTTGGGTTGTTGAGAATGTGCGTGTGCTTCTTAGACTAAAGTCCTTTAAGGAAACTTTTACAAGTAGCTAAACGGTGACTTGGCTGTACATCAATAAGCCATTCAGAAAAGTAACAGTGACACAACTTGCAGAAAAATAAGGACAAATGCTACCAATGGAAACACGTTAGTGAATGTAATCGCATGTTCTTATTCATGGGGAAAAGATAAAGGAGAAGTCTCCTTTGTTTGCACATGGTGGTGGGGGTGGTGGGGGTGGCAGCAGTGTTTGGGCTGGAGAACATGGTGCTCCGTACAGTGAAAAAATACCATCTTGTACTCAGGACAAAGCTTCAGCCATCAGTGGGAAAGAACAGTTACAATGGACAGTTTTTACAGCAAGATACCTGTTAGGACAAGTAAAAGCCTCTTCAGTTTAGATTGACAAGA